GAAGGAAGGAAGGAAGGAAGGAAGGAAGGAAGGAAGGAAAATTTATACCGAGGTAGAAAGGAGGAGTAGATGGATGATGGGTATTTGAAATAGAGGCAGATAACACAAGAGGATGAATATAGAGGTGAGAGGGCCAAGTACAAACTAGAGCTAGGAAAACAAGGACAGGAAGATCTATTTCAGTTAARCCATTAGATTAAATATATTCAAATGTGTGGGAGGTACAATCTTGGCTATTAATGTAACCACTATAATTGAAGTGGCTCACTATAATTCATTATGAGTCATTGACATTCCTGTCACTATCAATGGCATTTTTACTTGATATAGAAAGAAAACACTTTAATTCAATGGGACCACAAAAGGTMATTCAGTTGACATTATTTATATGTTCCAGGTTGAAATTAGAGTTATTTATAGAAAATCATGCCAAGGTGAAGAAAATACTTGTTGGATCTCAGTTTGGGTTTCATTGGGGTTTAGACCCAAATGAAAGATGTGCATCCTCCTTTGGCTGTGGGTCCCTCCATCTTTGCTGGGGCACAGGAGCCACTTCCCTGGGGCTGATGAGCGGAGACCTCCTGTCCAATCAGCGACCGCCTGCCTGCTGCTCCTTGTGTTGTTGCGCTTGCCATCCCATGGGCTCCTGGAGATTTTTTTCCCTGGCAGCTGCAACCACTTGCTGCAGCCACAGAAGATACTGCTACCCCGGAACCACGTGACTGCGGATACCCGCTGCTGACCCCAGGAGATGGCGTGGTGACGCGGTGCCTACAGCTGTGCCACCTCCCTAGCTTCTGCCCTTGCTGGCCAGCGGCCTGCTGTAGGGGAGACTCCAGGTTTGGTCCACGTGGCTGCACCCATTTTAAGACACCAGGCAGGACCTGGGGTATGGGTGCGGGCATGTTTACCACCACAAGAGCCTCCGGTGTCTATTTTGTCAATATCCCTGAGGCACAGGTGGTTTCAGAGGTGGATGACCCTTGCACATTATGTGTATTCCAGGCTCCCTCACTGAGGAGCCTGGTGGAGACTCTGGAGACAGCCTTAGTCTCTGACAGCCTCTCTTCCGGGTCTACCATCTCCAGTTTCTCCACCCAACAGGAGACAGACGCAGTGTTGGGAAGGTAAGCCCATCCAGGGTGACAGGGTCATGTGTAGCTCTGAGTCCAGGAACTGGCCCTGTGGCTCTCTGAGCCTCAGCCTGCTCCTCTGAACTGTGGGGTGCCAAGATCACTGACCTCATGGAGGAAAGGCCAGGCCTCTCATACTGCTGCCCCCTTCCCTCCTGGGTGGTCTCCTCACTCCCTCACTTGCCTCACTATCCACTTGGTAATGTCCACAGCCAGGTCATGGTCACAGGCCCTGATGTGGAGGACCAAGGATACCAGGTCCCAGCCCTGACAGAAAACCCGGAGCTCATGGAGGAAGAGGCCGAAGGTGAGGAGGACTGAGGTGGGGTATGAGTATGTAGGAATGGGATGGGGCTTGAGATGCAGAGCTTTCCTTCCAGAAACTGGGGCAGGCCAGGCACAATGAGAAGCAGAGCTGTCACTGTCTGCATGCATTCTGGGGACACTGCCAGGGTTGGGCTCGTGTGTGGAATTGTGTGAAAGGCAGTGGGAAATATTTTTTCGCTTGAAGGTGTAAAGCCRGACATGTGGGACCCCAATAGACCTCCAGGAGCCGAATCTGATGCAGTCACTCAAGAGTCTTTTTTGCAAGCTCGAGCCTGGACTCACAACTCTTTCTGATGCAGAAGTCCCAAGGAGTGAGTCCCGACCTTTAGTTCAATGAGGATTTATAGGTTTTTGGGGGGTACTCTATGCATCACAACATCACACAGCAAATCATTTCATACCTCAGGAAAAACAAACAACAACTCTTAACATTGATTAGCACATTCACTGGCGGGAATGAGTTGGGTAAGGGTGTTTGGTTAGTTCAAGTGGTGGATACATTTGAACTGATTGGTTTAGGCCACAATGGGTGTACTCGCTAAACTTGCAGGGTTACCTAATCATGTTCTCAATCATGAAAACTACTGGGAGGGTCACCTGGCATTTCAGATATTTTCCCTGTCTCACTCTGATTGTTGTTGCTATGGTCCAACATCATGTCGTTGGGTCTTGCATTGCTGAGTCAAGGCAGCCTGGTCACTGCAGTTAGGGGTATCTGGTTCCAGAGGCCTTTCCTGGAATTTAAGAAGCTGGGTCATCCCCACTTGGACAGGCCTTGCTCTGAAGTAGAGGCTGGTTTTTTAAAAAATGGAGTCACATCAGTTTCTCAGAAGGAACATGAACAGTTTCTTGACCTTTACTCCTCTTGTAGCTCAGGGCCACCTCTGGTGCTTGGGGGATGYTCCAGCTCAAATTCCACCACCTCCACCACCTGAGAGAGAGCTGGACCTGGAAAGGCCTGCAATGGCAGATCCTGGCCAAGAACTCCTGCTGGACCCTGAGGCAGCGCCTCTTACTGAGAACAACCCAGAGCCTCCATTCCTCGCCCCTTCTTTACCTTTTTTCCTTCTGTTTGTTTTACTTTTTTATATTATATGTATACTTTGCTTGCTTTAAAATTGAACGTTATATTTGTTTTTGAAAAGATCCAGGTTATTGGCATTAAGTGAATTCTCTAAACTGTGCACTAGTCACCACTATGTAGTTCCAGAACATTTTCCTGAATTTGGTGTCCATAACCACACAACCACTTTCTCCCCCACCCTCCTGCTAGTCCCCAGCAACCCCTCAGCTTTCTAGTCCTGTGATATGCCTAGTCTGCATTTTTCAAACCAGCGCAGTCTCATTTCTCCTGGGGCACATAATGTTGGAAGAGACAAATAAAGTTTCTTTAGAATGGTAAA